CTCAGCACCTGTCGGAGACCCATTTGCTCACGCACTCGGTGATCATCACTCGGTGATCATCACTCGGTGATCATCAGTCGCATCGCGAGGTGGACGCAGTTTGATTTCCATGTTCATAAGCACCAGGTATCAGACGTCAGTGACCCTTTGAGCAACATGTTTTCTTTTGTTGGATAGGTTTAGGCTTGGTCGGACTTGCATCACAGCTTCTTTAGAAGGGAATTTATGACACGTGAACTAATCCGCTTTTTAGCACTGATAAAGCTGGCCTCGTCCCGTCAGTGCCCACTGGCGTTTACGGAAACGATATCTCACGTTTTGATGTGAGCCGTCAGCGCCCGGCAGCTGCGCCGTCGGGTCCACAGGTCCGGCGAGATGAAATTCCAACCGGGATTGGCTCTTTGTCGTCAGCTGGTCCTCGGACGCCGCCGGCCCACAGCATCGTTAGACGCTGGCCAGGCAACCTCGCCGGTCCTCAGACGCCGCCGGCCCACAGCATCGTTAGACGCTGGCCAGGCAACCTCGCCGGTCCTCGGACGCCGCCGGCTCACAATATCGTTAGACGCTGGCCAGGCAACCTCGCCGGTCCTCAGACGCCGCCGGCCCACAGCATCGCTGGACGCTGGCCAGGCAACCTCGCCGGTCCACAGACGCCGCCGGCCCACAACATCGTTAGACGCTGGCCAGGCAACCTCGCCGGTCGGCGGACGCCGCCGGCTCACAACATGCATGAACGCTGGCCAGGGAACCTCACCCATCGGCCGACGGCGATGGCAGGAGACGACCTGAGTGCGCTTGTTGGCAATTAGGAGAATGTACGCGTGGGTTACAAACAAGCGTGACGTGGGTGATGCGCCGCGATCTAGAAGTAATATGGAGGTAGAATGTATCAGAAAGACTGCCTGAAGATAGATGACCTTTCAGTCACTGCCAGAACGCCTGTTGCCACGTGCAGCACGTCTGCGGAAGTGATCTTCTCATCTACATCGCTTTCAAGTTTCCAGTTAAGTAACGATTTAACGTAATGAGCTGCTAGCTTTGAGGGCGGTAAAATTAACGGGCAGTCATGCTTCAAACGAGCGTGAGCTAGGATGGCCTTTAAATTATCATGAATATATTTGCAAGTACATATCATGAGAGAATGGCTATAGTGAGAATCACCAGCTGTAGTAGCTTATTTCAGCGCACAGTACCAAAATTGATGGTGTGAAATATGAAAAGGTCTTGGAAGTATCAACCTCACTCAACTTACACAAACTCCTCATAACCCTCTTCACCACGGTCAACGGTACAAACTCGCACAAGCTTTCGCAATCGTGGATGGCTTGCGTTCAATGTATTAATTAAGCTACCATGCATGCTGGCACTACCGGCGCCTGGGCAGCCACACCCCGTGCGGTTGTGGTGGTTTGCCCCCCCCCCCCCCCCGCCGCCTCTCAGAACCGGCCGCACTCGCGTTGCGACATTCATGTTGGGGACTCAACGTGTGTTGGTTGGGAAAAACCTGTAACCAGTCACCCTACCAAATACAGCACGGGTTTGCCGCCGCATGGACGCCCTAATGGAGTTTAAACATTAGGGACCGGGCGTGGGGGAGCCTGCTATCAACCCAGGCACTGCTGTTTGCAATGCCTCTTTGTCCAGGCCCCAGCGCCGCGACCTCACTATCTGGTGAGTGTTCATTTCGCCGCTCCGTGTGGTACACGCTGGCCACAATTGACCTTCAGGCAAGGCTTTGCTGACTGCCTGATGCATTCAGCCTGCCGTTTCGCTCGGTCTTGACGGCGGCAGGAGGTGACAGTGCCTGGATCAGGAGCGATACTTCAGTGGTGACTGTGACCTCCCCTTTGACCTGGGACGCATGTGAGCCTGGGACCAGCCCCGCCTCGCCCCAACCCCGAAATTACTGGCGTTTTCCGCAATCCTCACCATGATAATAGTACGATTAGCACGCATAATGAAACCTGGAATAGTGATACGGAAAAGCACACTGCAAGCAGGAGCAAGGCGGCAGACGACGCTACGTGTTATGTAGCTTGGTAACGCGAAATTGGGTACGCCTTTCCTTTTTCATGCTTTTTAACTACGTTTTTACGCCTCATCATTCACATAAATGCTTGTGGAGCTGGGTTGGACTCCCGCGGCTAAGAAAAAGCGCCAGTGATAATAAACTTGCGAAGTTAGCTCACTGGTTGCAACTTTTCCAACGCGTAATATACAATACCAAGTCTGAAAACGCAAGATCATAAGCTTATGCTGCTTTACCTGAGCACGTCTGCAGTGAGCGTCTCACGGCAGAATCATTGCCGTCACTCACGCGGCACACGCGGTTGTCCGCGGGCGAAGCATGGGGGCGCACTCAGCGTAATTCAGCCGACCCGAGCCGCCCGGCACGCCGCCGTTACCCGCTAGACGGCTGCCGCGTGCCTCCGCTCCACCGGCGCGTCCTGCCGCCCGCGGTCTGAGGGCGGCAAAGTCACACGCCGCACTCCTCACGGCGCAGCGAGCGTGTTGGGCCGCGACGGCACGTGCCGGTCCACGTGCCGCTGCCCTGACTCCGCTGGTGGCACGTGCCGTCCCGGCGCCGCTCCCACCCGCGGCACGAGGTCCACGCGCCGCTGCCCCTGACTCCGCTGGTGGCACGTGACGGTCGGCCGAGGGTCAGGGAAGGAGCGCTCATTTTGCCACGTGGGGCGGGCGGTGCTCTCTGGTGCCTGCAACGCACAGAGCGGAGCTCGGCGGTCGCCAACCGCCTTTTGTCGCTCAACGCTTTAACAAATGGCCGGAAAAGACGGCACCCGCAAGCTGTTACAAAATGAGCTCAGCTGATTTCGTAGCCTGAGTGGGTGATCAGAGTAGCTGCCCAGTTTGCAGTAGATGCCGGTCCGTTTCTGCCCGCTAATGTTGTGGAATTCATTTAGGTTTGCATTTGTTGGCCGGTTTGCATTTTTGACCAGCTCCCGAATGCGCCGAAGTTGGTTTAGGATCTGAGCTTACGTTAGTCTAAAAATTCAAAAATGGTTTGAATATTAGAAAGAAGTTGTTATGGCAGTTAACGTCTTACCATTATTCCACTACGTTACAACATCCGCGGAAGATCCAGCTTTATATAGACTGCAATACCTGCTTACCAAACATTTACGTCTTCACCCACACACATGCATAACGCGATGGAATGCCTC